ACTCAGTGGGGTGTCCTTGTCATTAAATTGGGTACTGCCAATTTAATTTTTTTTTTAAATAAATAAATAAACCGACAAACAAACGGGAAAGAAACTTCGATGAAACTAAAACTGAAAGGCACGCTTAAGGATGATCAGTAGGTTCCCTCTTATCGAGACATTTCAGAAAACAAAGCACATAAAATAGATATATATGGCTCTCAATAGTTCTTGCAGCTCCTCACGATGATCTGTACTGCATGCTGACTTCCTTATTACCACAGTGTTCTTCTCTCATAGTGAACTTGATAGTGGAAAATGTTTTAACCTTCCTGATTTTAGCCAGTGGACACTCTAGGTATCAAGCCTGTGTCACCTGTGGCGAAAGGTTATAAGCTTTCCCTGTGGTGTAAGGTGTTGTATTAATCAAATGAGTATCTTTCAAATTCTGTTGTGATGTTGATATTAGATGTTAGGCAGATGATATTTCAACAGTTGTTTTAAACTTCAGTGGCTACCAGTGTGTTTCCAAGCCCTCATCAAAAAGACTTGGTTAAGGAACCCCTCCACCCAAAATTCACCCTTGAATTTTGAGATCAACCTGTCTGTTCCCAATATGGTCTACACAGAGCAGAGCCTTTTCTGTGATGGCTGAATCAGGATAGATTCCTAAATCTGAATTCTTTACTGCATGGTTCAGAGGTAATTATAAACCATGACTTATTATTGCACGTGTCTTCTCCTTCCCTCTTCTCAAAGGAGCAAGCAACTGGAGTTAGTTTAAAAGCTGTAGTTTTATCTCCTGTCATTTGCAAAGGGGGAGGTGAGGGCATGAAGGTTCATATGAGCCCAAGGTTCTAATCGTTAAATGTATTTTTTTATTAGTTTGTATACATTAGCATTGTTAATTGTTTTAATTATTTTTATTATGCAAATTACTGTATTTTCCCGTCTATAAGACATCCCCATGTATAAGACGCCCCCTATTTTGGAAGACTCAGATTTAAGAAAATGGGGGGAGATGGCCCCGTATATAAGACGCCTCCTAATTTTTGACATTTAGGGAAAAACCTAGTCTTATACACAAAAAATACAGTAAATTAATAAGAATAATAAATAATAACAATAGTGGAAGCTTTGTCTTGTAACAACAAACCATGGATTGTTCTTACAATCTGAAGTGGAGCATAAATAATTTAGCTTTATGAATATATCCTGATTCAGAGAAGCAGGGGTTTAAAGCAAGCTCTTAATCTAGAACTATTTGGGGGGGGGAATAATATAAGCATATGTCATACAGATAGAGCCATATAGACAATTTTGGAGCTCTCTCAAGCCCTGCATCCAACAACCCTGTCCTTGCCCTTTGACTTTCTTTGACTTTCCAACATTTGAGGGGAAAGCCTGAAGTTGAAGGAGAAGCCTACATGTGATTAGGAACCATAATAGAGGGATCTGCACATGTTCAAGCAAATGCAGGCAAATAGTTCCTTTCAGACCTTTCTCCTTCAACATGGGAAGGTCAGGAACATAGATTGCATAAAGATATTGAGTGGATGCCTCCTCCGTGGACAGCTCTTTCCAGTTCAGGGAATAATGCCTGAACAAGGCTTAGGTCAGGGGTCAGCAACCTTTTTCAGCCATGGGCCGGTCCACCATCCCTCACACCATGTGGTGGGCCGGACTATATTTTTTTTGGGGGGGGGGGAGAGAATGAAAGCATTCCTATGCCTCACAAATAACCCAGAGATGCATTTAAAATAAAAGGACACATTCTACTCATGTAAAAACACGCTGATTCCCGGACACTCCGCGGGCTGGCTTTAGAAGGCGATTGGGCCGGATCCGGCCCCTGGGCCTTAGGTTTTCTCCAGATGTGTAGGATGCCTGGAAGGTGAATAACAGAATAATGTGGACAAATCAATACAGCCAGTGAACTACTTAAAAAAGATAATTCTCCCGGGGGGAAATGTGCTTTGGATAATGTGGAAAAACCTGAGAACTATTGGCAAGGCAGAGTCGCCATAAGATAAAAGTAGTTCTTTTGTTGCAACTGAAATCCCAGAAACACAGTATGTGGTTGAACGTGTTTCAAGCGTTAGCCACCATAGTTCAATGAACCAAAACTTAGTCGGAACTAAATATGTTTTTGGACATTAAAATCTATCTTTGTTCAGTCTTGGCCAAAGGCCTGATTTGTACGTTGGGCTACATCCAAGGAAGTCTTCGCACTCAGGTACATACAGTAATAGTTTTGGATTCCATCATGGAAGTTCTTCCCTCTCTCCCCACCATACCGCTCAGATCTACTCTGGAGGGTTCAGCGAAATTATAGGAGCTGTTAATCTGAAAACATGCATTACCCCCTTGATGTCAACATTATATCCCAGTTTATGTCCAAGTTGGGGACCAGACTTCAGCACCAAAGTCAGGGGCGTAGCTAGGATTCTTGTTGGGGGGGGCAGGACTTTGTTAGGAGGGGGCAGGACTTTTGTTGGGGGGCAGAACCAACGTGACTGGTCAGTTAGTAAAGTATTTCTATTATTTTACTTGATCTAGGGGGCACAGCTGCCCTCCTGCCCCCCTTGGCTACACCCATGACCAAAGTCCTAATGGGGGAAAAAATGAAATTTATGCTTTACATAAAAAAAAAAGAAAATCCCATTTCAATTCTAATATAGAAAAAATGGCTTTCTTAACAACAGTTGTAGAAGTGGTCTTTGTTTTCATTGCTGTGGTTAATGTTCCAACCAACTAAACTTGTTCTTTTTGGTGTTTTTCTGCTACATCACTTATTCCTGATCATTTATTCTCCTTGCACTTTTGTCTGTGGCTTTCCCTTTTGACCCTTGTTGATCTCCTTTCCCCATCACTGCTATTTCATTTCCCCGATGGGGTCCTTGATGTTCTGAATCCTAATCACCCTGGAACATTGTGCCCTGCCTCTCTTAATCTCAGTGGTCCAGTGTAAGATTTTGTTTGCATATTATTTCACTAGCTTCTGTTCTAAGGCAGCTCTGCTGCTTTACTGTCAGCAAAACCATGTTGGAAGCCTTGAGTGAAGCCAGTCCACTGGAGTGTGCAGTAAGTTGAATTGCCACTACTTCCTGCTGTTCCTGTGATAGATAGTACCATAAAATGGATGTGATGTGGTTATTAGGCTGTGATTCGGTTCATACTGAGCTGTATTGATTGGTGTTGGTTCAGTGCTTGCTACACATTTTATCAATTGACCTTCCAGACTGTATTCCTGCTTGGCTTCTTTTACCTCTAATTCTGCTTTATCGCCAGTTTCATGGCCCCTCGTCTTTGTTTCGTTGATTTCTCGCCGTTCTTCTTAATGGCATTCTTTCTCTCTTTCCCCACTACTGAAAATGACTTTTCTAATAAGACCATATTTCCACACACCAATACAAGCAGGCATACACCCACATACCCATTTATTTAGATTTTTCTTTGTATCTAGCACCCTTACCTTTATGCCATGTCAATTTCCTTATCAGTCTTTTGTTGTTGTTGTTGTTGTTGTCCTTATCAGAATGATATAGGAGAGGAAACAATCACTATTATGAACAAAACAACAGTCAATTCATTTAATTTGTTTGCTAATCAAACAAAAGGTTAGTAATACACTATGAGTTTATTCCCACTTCTGTGATCTTTTGTGATTTCTAGACTGGTCTTAGCAAATCAGAAGCATGGAATGAGAAATCAAGAGTCCATTGGGGTTTGGGTTTTTATTATTATTTTAGCAGACGTGCAAACAAGTTATGTGGTTTAAAGTACGAACCAAAGGCTGTCATCGACACTTTTTACTGTCAATTGAAGTATGATGGAAAGAAGGTCGTTATTCCTCTTTGCATGCATATCTCTTCATTTGGTGGGAACATGATACAGGAGAAAGGGTCAAAAGTGACTGTACAAAGTTGTCCTTTCACTGTAAGTCTGGAATCGTGCCTCCTGTATATTCTGCGTGGCACCAGACCAGGACAATGCTGATAAAGTCTTCTTTTTCTGCCTCTTAGTTTTCAGCACAACTGCAAGTGGATTGAGACAGAAGCATCCCCACCATCCTGACTAGTTCCCATCTTACGGCCGCAACAGAAAGGCCATATTAAATCCCTCCACATGGTGGCAATTGTGTGGCAAGTCATTTCTATGCAGCAGCTCATCACAGGAACAAAGCACTTTTCACTGTAGTATTACAAGCCTCATTTTTTGCACCTTTGTACTTGAGAACGAGTTCCCATTCCATGTGCTGAGTTGTTGCATGCAAATATAATAACAGCCTTGTAGCAGCACTTGGGGCGATTTAAAGCACAAATTGTCCCCTAATATAGAATTATATATATATTTTTTCCATACATCTATACAGGTGCTGTTGAAAGCACCCCTTTCAAAATATGTCTCAAGAGATTAGGATTACTAGCACTACATAAGGACACCTGAAGAACTCTTCGGATATTTCAGAGAAACCATACAAGGTCAATTGTCTTAAAAGCACCTTTGTATGATAAATGCCATTTTAAATGTCTAGGGTTTTGTATGGAAGGCAATTATTATCATTATCAAACAGCTTTTAAATTGCTATTATAATGCACATCTGATGATTTTCTTTTAATTCAATAGTATTTTTCTTTTACATTTCCAGGCACACAGAAACCCCTTTCCTGTCTCCCTCTGTGCAGTAATTTCCCAAGGCTGATTATCTTACACTTTCATAATTTGACAGTGCTTCAAATGTGTGCCTGCTTTTAAAAATACTTCATAACATATTCAGATTTATAAGGTTGCAAGTAGCCACCAGTTTATCAGCACTGACCTCTACAAAAGAGCTGTAGGATTTCAAACCCCATAAATCTATTGGAGTAGAACCCACTTCAGGAAAAAGGTTCTTACTGGACCAAACTGGTGGGAGACATGTGTTTCTTTTTTGATCAAATGTCCACCTCTTTTGCAAATAAAGCAGTGACCTTTCTCCATCGTCAGAATTCATGGAAATAACTTCAGTATTAATAAACCCTTCAATTTCATTTTTATTCCACTAAAACCCCGAATCCTATTCCTGCTTAGTAAATAGGGGCAGGCACAGTTTGGCTGGCATGTTTTGTTAGCTGTCTTGAATCTGAAAAGAAAAAAGAAGAAAAAAACCCCTTTACCTTCCGATCTCTTGTTTGCCACTTTACTTTTCTTGATAAGTGTTTTGAGAAAATGAGAACAAATGAACAGTTTTTGCAAACTGGTAGTTTATGAGGCAGTGGCAATGTAATAACTGCAAGTGTGCACCCAGAATTAAGGTAGTGATGGCCACGATACTTGGCTGTGGCCTTCTCTGATCTAATGGTGAAAAAAAGTGGTAGATGTCCCAGGCACCCCCAGCCAATGTAGGTACACTTCTGATAGGTAATTTTTTTAAAGCATGGTGCACTGGATACATACGCGCTCATGCTTCTAGCTTCTAGGCAACTGTCCCCAGGCCTGTGTCTTGTGGAGCAGTTGCAGCAACAGTGGTACCATGTCCCCCCAACCCCAGCTTATGTATCCGCATCTGATGAGGGGCTCATGTGCAACCTGAGGCTTGTCCTCTTACCTCTTCTAGCCCCTCCTCGTTCTAGGAGACAGTAGGGCAGGGGGTGGCAGGGATTTGGCTGGCATCTCCCTCACCTGAACACCCTCTTCCTCCAACATGTCCTGTGCACCCATCTCCATCTCTGATGCCTTTGTCCCCATAAATCATCCCTCCTCCTGGGTGAATCTACTCACCTCTTGTCTCTGCAACACACTTGTCAGAGCCCTGCCAGTAGATGAGAGAGTGCAGGATATTATTCAGAGCTGAGGAGTTGGGTTTGAGAATGGCAAGATTTGTCTTGAATCTCACAGCCCTGAGAAGGTGGCTTGCTGTAGTAACATGTGGCTTCCCAGATGCTGCTGAACTACAACTTCCATTGCCCCTGTGCACTGGCTATGCTGGCTAGGGGTTATGGGAGTTGGAATCCAACACCATCTATATGGTCACATGCTTCTCACCCTTGCTGTAGCAGATGGAAAGTCCATCACATCCAGCATTCTGTTTCCGATAGCAACCAGAGAGATGCTATCAGTTCACTTCCACTGGACATGGAGGTTCTATTTATCTAGCATATTTAATATTAATTCTACCATAAGGCACAGGCTCAGTTTTGGTCATCATTAAAGGATGTTAATTATCCCTTATTTATTTATTCATTATGATTGTTTCAGCTAGGGAAGGGACAATTAGATTTTCTGCCTCCTGTGCCAGTATGTCTTGGGCAGGGCACCTCTTAAAGATCTGTGAGAAATCTAGCCTCTCTCTATTAAAGGCCCAATATTTTCCTTCATAAAACAATAGGAAGGCAGATGTGTGTTATGTTGTGGAGTGATCAAATGCTATAATAATACATGTTTGTGTGTCTTTAATATAGTAGATGCCTAAGGGTTGCTGTTGTCTGCCCATGGTAGCCCATCCCTCCTTAAAAAAGAAGAAAAAAAACAGTTTTAAAGAGAATAGCACATTCTCCATAAATCTATTCATTAAAGGAGAGAAATTAGCTCCATGCAGCAATCTGCTTTTATACACAATACATTTTGTTTTCTCTAGATGGCAGGTAGTATAACCAATGCATGTACAAGATCAGGAAATAGGCTTTTAGTGATGAATGGTCAAATTTTCAAAAAACATCTCACTTCATTCCATTTGTTCATAAAAGTCATTATGGGAACAAATAGCATTTTCCTACCTCAGGCACTCTGCAGCTCTTGGTCACAGGATGATGGTTTTCCACAATATCTCTAACCGTGGATTAAAAAAAAAAAAGAACCCAACAAACAGAGCATCCAAACAAATAGCCTGAACAGCAGGGTGCATTGGAGGAGACAGGGTGGGGGAAATAACTGGGAGAGGGTGGAAAGAGGAGAAAAGGAAAGGAATACAGTGGCCTTGGACAGTTCTCAGCATTATTCTACAGTTAGGAGTTAAGTTTAGGTCAGTGATTCATATGAAGACATACTGACCTATGATGTATTTAATAAAGAATAAGAGGAACAGGAACAGGAAGGAGAGCGACGGAGGGAGGGAGTGCATTATACAAGTCCAGGCTTGAATCAGTGAGATCCATTCATTTTTATTTCCATTTGCTGGAAACAAACAAATCCTCCCCATGATTTAAGTTAGGTAGCCTTCCTGAAGGGGTTCATGACATTTTGCCACATGCAAGCTTCTCAACTTATTAATTTATCTACCAGGGCTTTCTGTGTATCTGCCTCCACTGTTGGAGGAAGCGCACCCCTGAATGCTGGTTGCTGGGAATTGCAAATTGGGACAGTGCTGCTGGACTCAAGTCCTGCTTGTGGCTGTAAGCGTAAGACTGGCCATTGTGAGAACAGGATTCTGGCCTGATCCAGAGAGGCTCTTCGTATTTTAGTTTATAAAATAATATTTATTAATAATTTCAGAATTACAGAAAAAAAGGAAAAAATAAAAAACAACACTACAATACATAAAAAGAAGAAAAAACGCAAAACATAAAAACCAATACAACAATACAACAAACAAACAAAAAATAAAAAAGAGGAGAGAAAAAAAGACACAAATCCCATATTACATATCTTTAACTTCCATTTGCTTATTTCGTTGACCTCCTCACACCTCCCTTTTTGTATTCTAGTTTAGTTAGTTATTTCAGCAAATTCTTTCCATCTTTCTCAATTTTTATTAAATAATTTATCTTAACAATTTAACCTATTAATTAACTCGACAGATCCTTTCCATCTTTCCCCATATTCTGTTATTCAAACTACCTTAATTTATTTAACCTTATCTTACCATAAAATACCTTAAAGCTTGAGACTTAATACTCAGTTATACATAACTCCTGATATCATTTCTACTAGAGTCATATAGTTTCTTATTCCAACATTTTCCCTAATATTCATTAATTTTAGGCTAGTTCCCTAAATAAAAATTTTCTTTATAAATTTTCTTCCAATCTTCATCCAACGTCTCTTCTTCCTGGTCCCGGGTCGTGTCAGTCCTTACTGTCCATTCCATCTAGTCCATCAACCTGGAAGTCTTATGTCCGAGGCCCTTAAGTCTCTTCCATGTCCCTTCTGCAGATCTTCTTCTTCTTGTTTATACTTGCACTTTTCCTTGTTTTTTGTTGGTCTCTTTCTTAATTTCTTTCCTTTCTCATTGTGGAGTAGGTCTCTGGGGGGTTCCAACCCAAAATTATCTCCGTCTCCCTTCATCAAACCAGCCCATTCCCCACAGTTCCACTCCCCACAGTCATCAATATAATCCAAAAAATATTTATGAGCATATTTCGAAGTCTCTCCAAAGTTAAAAGCCTCCTCAGCTCCAGACTCCCCCTGGCCCACTCCAACTTCAATCTTCAAAGACAGCGGCTTATACTCCTGTAGGAACTTGGGTCTCTCCATTTGTGTTATTTGAGGTGCAACCGCAGCCTCCTCCATTATCTTCTGCACTTGCCCAATCAATACAGGTTCCTGAGTTGGTCCCTGGATGGTTTCTGTATCACTATTCACTAATTGTCCACAGTTATTGGCCACAACAGTCATCAAATCCATTTTCTCATTCATCAAATCCATCTTCTCATGCATCTGTTCCAACAAAGCACTTGTCTTGCATAAAACAAACACCAAAACTTCCTCCCAGCTCATATTTAGTCAAGGTCAAATGGACTAATCCCATGATCTTAATCTCACAGCTGTGGAGTCCTCAAGTAGACTGCAGCAACAATTTAGCAAGCTCCCTCTAGAGGAGACAATTTCTATTTGTATCCATCTTTTTAAGGCAAGTCCAACAAAGGAAAATTACTTTCATTTTTCAGATATTTTGTTTCTTTAGAATGCAAAAGGCAACATTGGAATCAGTTTATTTCTCTTCTTTAGCTATCTGTCAAAGTATTCCATTCACAGTCAATGAACCTCTCCAACAATTTCTGTCTCTGACACCCCGTTCCCAGGTTAGAGACGGTGGAAACTTATCTTTCTTAACTCCCTCTCCTGCAGGCGTTACACAAAGTTCCCCCCCTTTTCTCCTGCTTCCAAGGGGGTTTCAGTAGTTATAAATGAAGGAAATTTAGGCTTTTTTAACGACTTTCCAGGCTTTAGCTTACAAGGTTTTTGCTTCAGTCTATATACAAAAAGCGGAAGGCGGACTTCCTGTTTTGAACCTTCCCGCTTCGATGTCAAATTAAGATATTTCTTGAACCAATTTTCCGTTTCTACTCACGGGTACTTGTTTTAAATCCAATTGTCCACAGGAAAAAGTCAGCGCTCTCCGGCGATGGCTGTGCGGCTTCACTCCGTGAAAGTAGCAGTCAGTTCACAGCACCACGCCGCTCTCCCCACTTCACTCCGGAATCCCAAAAAGGGGTTCCCTGTGAGTGGGGGGGCGCTCCTGGTGCCCTGCCAAACCCCACGTTCCCAGGCTTCCTCCGCCTGGGATTTCTAGCGGGTCCCCACCTTCGCCGCGGCAGGAAGACCCAGTTTCCACGGAGCCAGTTCCTCCGGTCGGAGGAACTCCGCCATTCGCCGATGGCGCTAACCCGGAAGTCCCCGGCTCTTCGTATTTTAACAGCTCCAGGTTGTGCAGATTTTATAGCAGGTGTAGCCATTCCTCACACGCTTCGCCTGCTGAAGGTGTATTGATTGGAGAGCTGTCAACGCTGCAAAGGTCTTTGAGGTGTTAGCTGGTTCTGTGAAACCCCAAGGTTTCAGAAAGTACAAAATAATATTTGGGGAAAGAAACTAAGAGGGGGCACACTCCCAAATAGCCCAATGGAGACTCAACATGCCCAGTGCCAACGGAATGATGGCTGATTGTTGTGGTGGGGATGGAAAACCAGGAAGGAGGGGGAATGGAATGGAGCAGCTGGAAGCCTAGAAGCACCCCATGCTGCAGCACTTTGTGGCAGGACCCCACATGAAAGCCAGCATTCCATTGCAAACACTAGCCCACTGGATTCCTCTGGGAAGCTTACAAGTTGAGCATGAAGGTAACAGCCATTCTTGTTTATCTGCAATCAGCTTCTGGTGTTCAGGGGTATATTGCCTTTAAACGTGAAGGTTTAATTCAACTATCATGCCTGATACCTGTTGATAAGACTGAATTTTTTCAAAACTGTTTTAAGCCAGTGGACAACACTACATTTTGTGGCAGTGAATTCCATAAATTTAGTATTCCTTGTGCAAATACTTTGCCATGTGCATTCTGAGCCTACTGCCAATCTGTTTTGTTGGGTGATTCCAAGCTCTCTCTAGCATCATGTTTTTGTGTTTCATATCTCTCACCTCTGAGCACTTTTTGAAAACCCACTATTGTGTGTTTCATGACTGGCCAATAATCTCAGGAAGAGACATCGTGTGCATAGAGATGTTCATGCTACATGCAAAAACCTTGAAAAGATGGTGGCAAAAAGCCCTTCTCCTAAGATTTGTTTTGATACTGTGGGCCACCTATTGAAGAACAGGATGCTCTGTTTACATTCCAGGAAACAGCACAAGGTGTCTTAGAGCCAGACTAGACATGGCATTAAATGCATATTTTTTATTATTATTAAAAAAAAACATGTAAATGGCATGAACTTTGGTTGGTAATTATCTGGATCACAGCAGCAGAAGATAGGGGAGTTTAACCCTTTGTTCTCCTGTCGTGGTCCTAGGGAAAATCCTTCCTAGACCTATATCTAGACCTGGGGACAAGTTACAACTGGTCCAGTCTGAATATGCAGCTGTCCCACATGGGGATCGAACCTGAAACCTTGGCATTATCAGCACCATGCTCTAACCAATATCTGCTAGATTTGCTTACCGTTCATCATGCTGTTGTTAGAACCCAACTCCCATCAGCCCCTGCCAGCATGGCCAATGGTAAGGGATGATGGGGGTTGGAGTCCAGCAACAACTGGGGAACCATAAGCTCCCCACTCCTCTTTTAAAGATTTGCATCTATGTTGTATTAGGTCATTGGACAGACCTACTTTGGG